TTCAGAAAAGGCCCCAAAATAAAAGGGGACCGCCCCGAAAAAAAACCCCCCCCCCCCCCCCCCCCCCCCTCGCGGTGGCCACACTGCTGCATCTGAACCCTCTTCGCCAATGTGTGTGATTTTCCCTCCCTCTGACAGCTGTGCTTAAGCCACGCCTCCGGCAGCCTGGTCCTGCGCCACCTGCACCCGGGAGACTGGCTAGGCAAGCCCGACAGCCTTACCATGAGGGTGAACGCGGGGGGGCTGGGGACGTACTACAACCCCCTGGTGGACAAGAGAGAGCACCTGGTGGAGCCGTGGTCGGGTCTGGTGGAGTGTCACAGCGAGCGGGGGGATGCCACTACCCAGCTCCGGGTGGAGGTACAGTCGTGGCTGCGACATAAGAGACATAAGAGGGTACCTTACAAGAAGGTGGAATCGGTTGTCACGGACCGGGCCCGCTATAGCATGGTAGTTGGGTACCCTATTATTCTGGTGTAAGAGGGGGCTCCGATATGAGAGGGTCGAGGGCCTTTGCCAAAACGCGCTCTTATACCGGAGCCACGGCTGTACTAGAGTTACGCTCAGCTTGTGTTTGGTTTTGGGTTATGGTCGATTGGTTGTTGATTGATGGGAGAACAGAGGCTCTCTTGGTTTGCTGTTTCTAGTTGGCAAGGACGGAAGAGCAACCGTTCGCATTGAATTGCGGAGAGTCTTCTGTGGTTGGTTTTGAGTCATGCCCGAGACTATCGTGCCGTATGCATCCCGAAGGCGGGACTTGATTTCCGTGAATCGCATTTGCCTCACGACTGCTAAGGAAGCAGCAGCAGAAACCGATAATTCCTAGTGGCCTACCAGCTTTCTGTTCGTCTCCCCCTCTCGCGTCTGCGATGTCTTGCGCGTACTTTTCCCCCCGTGCCTGGGCCCCTCGCTGAACAACGCCTCTTCCGTTGCTTGTTTTCTGGCGGTTTTGCTGTCGGCGCGCTGCACACGGGCCCGCAGATGCCCGAGCACCTCGTGGTGAACGTAACGTCGGCCCTGGTGGAAAACATCAAGGACACCGCTTCTTTGGTGGTGCGGAACTGGGCCGGCAGGCGAGTCGAGCGCTCGCGCAAAAGGGGCACTTAAGCTGGACGTTGAAATCCATTGTGCGTCGAGAGCGTTCTGTAGCACCCCACGCATCTATCTGGGGGACCTGGCGTGCTTGCCCCTCTTTGCAGACGTAGCGTGGGTCGTCCGACGATGATATCTCGATTTTTGGTAGTACTCCATCGACGTTTGCACGAGGTTGCTGAATGCCTCTCCCCACATGCCAGCCGCCAAGAGGAAGTCGTGAATCACGGGGCTGCTATCGGTGAGTATAGCCTGCTACAACTGCTTTTTTGTTTTGCTGCTGCTGCTGCCGAAATTCTGCGCCGCCGCTCGCTGTCCTCAACAGGTATTCCGAGCCGTCGGTCGCCACCCAGAGCTCCGAAAGTTCGGGCACCTTGCTCATTCGAAACACTCTCGGGGTAGAGGTGGTCGTCCAAAGCCTTGACGCGACCTGGGGGGCAGGCGACGGCGGCGGCGGTTGGGGCTGTGATGCTCCCGGCGGCAGCTGGGACAGACACGTGAACGGTGACATCGCAGCCGAATGCTTCGATGACTTCTTTAGCGAACAGGGCGCTGCTGCTGTCGCTACTGCTGCTGCTGCTGCTGCCGCCGATGCTGCTGCTCTTACTGCCATGGCAGCGGCGACCGCAGGCACAGAGCATCCGTCCCACGTACGAGACTTGTCCCGACCGACGGCGGTGGCCGCAGGGCACGCGATCGAGTGCCGGTTGCCGGCCAAGACAGAGTGGCGAGACGGGGGCGTCATCGCGGCCGACGTCCTGGTGCACGTGCCCGGGTTTCAGACGGTGGCAGGCATTCAGGTCGGGGGCAGGGGCGCCCGCGCGTACCCGCTGATCCAGCTCTCCCAGCCGCCCGCAGCGGCGGCGGGGCAGTCGGCAACCGCACAACCCGTCGGAGACAGCATGAGTAGGCACGCCCGAGGGGTGGCGGAGCGGTTCATGTGCGTGCCCGTCAAGGGCGCCGCGTTGAACAAGGTCGGGCTAGCGCTCGTGGTGGATGTTGGCGAGAAGCCCGTCGCCGCCGGTGGCTCCCTCGGTGGGGGCGGTGCGCGCCGCGTCGAGGCCTTGAGCAAAGGCGGCGAAAGCCTGTTGACAGCCTCGTCGTCCGCGTCTCACGGGGGCCTCGTGGCCGAGCTGCGGACGAACGTCTGCGTGCACAACGGGTCGGCGTCCGACGTGGAGGTGGACATGGTGGACATAGCATCGGCGGCGGCGGCGGTCGCGACCACCCCCGGCGTCAAGAGACCAGGGCAGCCGGCGTGGGAACAAGACTGGGGAGCGGCACCGGCGGCGGCGCCCCGGACAGGCGGCGGCGGCGGCGGCGGCAGTGCCACAGTCGTGAACCTCGCGCCGGGAGCCCGCCTGGCGCTCCCGCTTCCCGTCCTGTCCTCCTGGCACTTGCGGATCGGGGGCGACGCCACCAACGCCTGGTCCCGACCCCTCCGACTCTCCCCCGCCCTTCTCGACCCGGCCGTCCCCAACGCGCTCCGCCTGACGAGCGACATGGAGCGCAACTCCGTCTGCTTGAGAATGACCAAGTCCAGCGGGCGGGTTTCTCGCGGGAGCGACGGCAGCGGCGGGGCGACGGCGGCAGCAGCGGCAGCGGCGGCGGCGGCGGCGGCGACCGCTGCTGCAGCCGCCGCGGCTAGGGGGGAGATGCACCCGGACTCCGGCGGCGACGGTGGCTTGCGAACGTCCCCGGTCTCGAAGGAGGGCGGCGGCGGCGGTTCACGCCGCATGTCGGTTCAGCGCGTGGGCTTCGGCCTCCCGCCGCCCTCCCCCCGCTCGTCCCGGGCGTCACCGTCCCCGCGGGACGGGGACGGCGGCGGCGGCGGCGGGGTTGACAGGCCGAGGACAAAGGCGTCCACGTCGACAACCACGTCTTCGCCGGTATCGCCTCCCGTGGGAGTAACAGCGGCGGCGGCGACCTCCTCTGGCACCGCAGACTGGGTGCTGATGGTCCAGCCCTCCTACCTCGTGACCAACGCCCTGCCCTGCGCGATGGAGGTGGAGGTGCTCCAGCCGCCCGCTGTCGGCGGTGTTGGTGGCGTGGAGCGGAGCGAGCGAAGCCGTTCCTGGGGGGGCTTTGGCTCCGACCTTGCCGACCACGGAGAGGTCGACCTGGGAGGAGGGTGGCGGGACGGAGGAGGGTCCAGCGTTAGCAGCGACGAGGACAGCGACGCCGCCTCTCTGGCGTCCTCGGTGACCTCTTCTCGCCAGACCCAGCAGAGCGAGGGCAAGGCTACGGCGGTGGCGAGCGCCTCGACGGGGGTTCGAGTCAAGGCCGCCGTTCGCAACCCGGCCCTCGACCTATTCTTCCTACCGACATCGTCTTCGTCCGAAACGGGCGGCGGCGGCGGTGGGCGCGGGAGCGGCAGGGCGAGGAGCGGCAGCCGAGGCGAGAGCGGCGCCGGGGGTGCTAGGAATAGAGGTAAGAGCAGCGATGATTCCGGTGGCGGAGATGTTGGCGGTGGCGGGCAAAAGAGCGGAAAAGGAGGCAATGATTCGGCGAAAGGTGGGGCGAGGATCTGGCCGTGGCCGCACTCGCAGCAGCAGCAGCAACAACAACGGATGCGACGTGAGGAGTACGACACTATCCACGGGTTCCACAGCGTGTGGAAGGGGCTCGTCGGCAGTGGACAGGAAGCCAAGGTAAATAATTTACCCAGACTTGAAATAATGCACAGGTTATGAAGCAAACGAAGAGAGGGGCTACTTCCACAGGCGCGGCCAGGGATGTGTTGCTTCGTGCTTGGGACGCGCGGCGTACGTGTTCCAAGCAAAAATTGCCGAATTTCCATGGATGCTTGGGGGACAAAATGCGGGACAGCTTTCTGACCTACCCCTCCGATACACTCCTGCGCATGTGGCGTTATTTTTTTTTGGCTTCTGGGTGTACGCTGGGTGTACGCTCGCCCTGTGTGGTTAGGTCCCGCAGGGCACTTTTCGATGTGCTTCTCGTAGGTACACCCCGGACCTCATGTTTTCTTTCACAACAATCATCTATTGATGTCGAAAATCGTTCGAGCGTTCATGCCCGGTGTCGGAGGGAACACGTCTTGGTGCGGCTGGCACGACATTTGTCCGGCTTTGTCCTTACTCATGTGCGCTGTATAGCCTGTTATGTGGCGGCGAAACGAAATCGACTATGGAGATTCCCAGTACAACCTTACGGCGTTTTAGTTTTTCTCTCCGTGTCAACGATCGCATCTTTTTTTTTCTTCATGTCAGTGATCGCAAAGCATCGACAACGATACCATTTGGTGCTTTTTTGTTTGTTTGTTTTACTGACGCGCAGGTTGGATGCGTGGACAACGACCGCCCGTTCTACGTGCGGGTGCGGCTGCCGGACCCTGCGGCCGGCGCTAACCAGCCGCCTCCAGGACCCCGGTCCCCGCCCTGCTACCACTGGTCCGATTGCTTCGTCATCTCGACGGCCGACCACGCGCGAAGAAGCTTCTTCAACTCGCGGCAGCCGGAGGTATGTATGTAGGTAGTAGGCGCTTTGTGCGTGTGTCCACTGGAGAGGGAACGTGTTATTCCGGGGTGTTTTTTTATTTTTTTTGCCGTACGCATCACGAACAGATGCACACATCACCCCCCAAGACTCTTCCCCCTTGTTTCTTGTTGTTTTGTTTTTTTCACATTCCTGCGGACCGGTACGGCATTGCTCACGGACAACGGCCGCAGCACAAGTAACTACAGAAACAAGAAGAACAAGCCTTAGAACCAGCAACGAAAATTACAACGTCGTGCCCCCAGTATCAGCACCTGGCATTGGCGACACTATCACACACAGCTCGCAACGTTCCTTCCCCTCATCTGTCCCTATCCCACCCCCCCCCCCTCCCCCCCGACTGAACTGAACGCGATGTCTCACCGAATAGGACATAACCTGGCGAACGGCCGCGCGGCAAGACTGGGGACGGCCGTCGCCGGTGGTTGGCCGGGTCTCGCCGGGGGGAGCCTACGGACGGGCAGCGTCGAGGGGAGGAGGGTGGGGAGAAGGAAGGACGCGTTGGCAGCAGTGCCCCGAGATCAAGGCTGCTCGGTCGTGGGGGAGGTGCTCGGCACGGCGACTGACGTTTTACGCGCCGTACTGGATCGTGAACAAGACGGGGTTGGCGCTCAACTACCGCGCCAGGTGTCTTGTCTACCACGCATCTACACGTACCTTTTTTTTTGTTTTTCCTGTTCTTGCTCGATACATCTACAGGTGCCTGTTTCTTATTTTTCCTGCCTTCATTTCCACCTGGTTTCATGTGTTTTGCTGTTCTTTTCACTCGCAAAATATTAGTGCCTTCCCTTGTTCTCATTGCTCCCAACACCCTCGTTCATGGTTTCTGTTGTTTCTCGGAAAAGGCCCGCTCGGGGAAAGAACGTTACGATGTCCCGCAAAAACGTGCGTGTAGTAGTGGGGGTTTGATGAAATGAAGGATTGGCCTGTCGTGGGGCCGTCGGATGAGAAGAGTGGATGCTCTCTTGTTGATGTTTTTGAGTTCACGAAGCGGAAGATCCATCGAGCATAGCACGACCGCTCATGTCACGGGGTATCGGGTTTAGTGTTGACTCCCCCTCTCGAGCAAGGCAGACGACGCCGGGCCACCGCCTATTGGGCGGTGCAGCAGCGCGGAGTGGTGCGTTTCTTCCGCCGCCGCCTCCGCCGCCGACCGCACTTCTAGCTCTGCGTGCAATGCTTGTCCTCGTCGCAGAGGTATTCCGTCGATATTGGTCTTGCCGCACTTTCCCGTCCGACACTCTGCCCCGCCCCGTCCCGCCGCCCGGCCCCGTGAACACCATGACATTTGGTTGTGTTCGAAAAGGTACCCCAGCAAATCGACCTTCAGCGCACGCCCCTCTGCAAAGAGTGGCGGCGGCGGGGGCCGTGGCGGCAGCGGTGGCCGCGGCGGTGGCGGCGTCAACGGCGATATCGGCAGCGGCGGCGATGGGGCTGGATCGGGGAAGTTCAAGGACGGCGGCCGCGGCGGGAACGACGAGGGGGGCGGTTCCCAACAAGGCGGCGGCGGTGGTGGTGTCTCGCGGACGGGCTCGGTTTCATCCGCGGAAGAGAATGCCCGCATCCAGGTTTGTTGCTTCGGAGAGTCGTTTCTTCTTAGGGCTGGGATACGGGAATTACGGGGAAGTGTAAGGCGGATGTATTACGTAGGGACCGTGTCCTCCATTCTTCTCCGCGGCCCCCCTTTCAGTACTGTTAGCACACCACGTTATCGTGCCGGAGTTGACCCCCAATCGAGTTGACCACTTGACACGCAGCGGTCCGTTTGCCCGAGACACTGCTGCTGCTCGGTGCCGGCGGTGAAGTACGCAAAGGAAAGCGAAAAGCAGAACACCGTCCCAAGGCCGTTCCTTGCCTCCTCTTCCCCATCACGTTAACGGTGTCACTGCTGTTGCTCCTATCCGCCTCCCCTTCCCCTTCAGGTGTCGCGGTTGCTCCTTCGAGACGCTACGTACGTGGGCGACGAGGAGCACCTCGGCTTCTTCGGCGGTAGGAGCCTGCCCGTCATGCTCGCCTGCCCGTCCAGAAAGCTGGAGGTGATGCCCTACGCCCTGGCGGCTAGGGCGGAGGACGCCGGGCTCTGCGTTTGCGATCTCCAGGTGACTTTTTGGGGTTCTCGGGCAGCGAGGGATATTGTCACATTTTTTGTTCCACCCCCATGATGATTGGAGGGGTGGGAGGGGGTTGTCCTTTACGCTTCATGTGTAATTACCTCTTCTTTCTAAATCGTTTTTGCTCATGGAACTGGTCGGCTGTGTGTTGACCTCTTGTCGTCGTTTTGATTTTGCCTTTTTCTTCACGTGTAGCCGAGGTGACGCGGTCGATGTTCGTTGTAATCCAGGCACATGATTGACTCCGCCTGGACCCCCACAATATGCACAACGTCCGCTGACGTCTCTCCTGCTTGTGCTGCTGTTCTCCGTGCTTTTTGTGGGGCCGCAAGCACTTCGTCCTCACGGAGTATGTTTGAGATTGTTGGTGCCATCTGGGAATCATGGGATTGATTACCACGGGTGTTCCTTCCTTATACTGTACCTGCCTTACGGCTAGTTCCAAGGCAACCACCACCTGCTCGGAACACGACGC